TCTCCCCTCTCAGGTCACCATGAAGGCCATCCTCGTGGCTTAGAGTCCTGGAGTAAATTCATTTCTATTGCAAATCTTGCAATTGAGCCAAGAACACTAATATTATGATCCTTATAATTAAAAAATATGAAATGTAAAGATGGCTTGGAGTTCTTCTGAGAGTTTATAAATAGGAAATTCTTCAGGGGAGAAGAATGCATTTCTGGTTCAGTATTCAGCACGCCCAGAAGCTATTTACATATTTTAGATTGCCTTAGTTCATTTTAACCTTCAGTAAACTTATTATGGCAAGGGGGATGGGGGGAGGGAAGGCCGTGCCAGTGGAGTGCAAAGCCAAGCTGGAAAGTCTTTTGAGTATGGACCTGGGGAAGAGCTGCCTAGCTAAAGTCATCATTGGCTGCTAAGGAATTCCCCCTGCCCCAACCCCACACAACATGAAGCAGTCTAGGAAGACATGCAAGGTCTGTCATTTGGGCTGAAGAAGAGAGTACTGCTGTTGATGTAATCATGTGTCTTTTGAATTATTGAAGTAAATTATTCTTTTTTTAATTAATTAATTTAGTTTTAGTTTTCAACATTCATGTCCTAAGCTTTTGTGTTTTAAATTTTCTCCCCCCTCCCTCCCCAAGATGATGTGCAATCTGATATAGGCCCTACATATCCATTCCTGTTAAACATATTTTCACATTAGTCATGTAAAGAAGAATTAGAACCAATAGGAGGAACCACAAGAAAAAAAGAAACAAAACCAAACAGAAGTAGAAAAAAGCAAATAGTATGCTTTGATCTACATTCAAACTTCTTTCTCTTATCCCCATTTTACTAATGGGAAATTTGAGAGTGAGAGGTTAAATGACTTGCCTAGGGTCACACAGCTGCTAAGCAGGAATCAGATCTTCCTGACTCCAAGGCCAGGATTCTATCCATTGTGCCACCTAGTTACTGAATATACCACAATTTGTTCCCTATTTCAGAAACGATGGGTCCCCACTTCTCTCCGTCTCCCAGTATTCTTTGCTACCATTTGCCTACAATTTGCTAGCATTCTTTTGCTAGAAAAAGAGTTGTTTTGATGACATTTGTGTATACGTGGGGACTTTCTCTATGAAAAATCCAACATCTTCAACATTTATCACCAGTATCTTGGAAGATAAAATTATTTTAAAGTTTTGATTACCCTCTAGGAATTCAGCTCTCTAATGGGGGTGGAGGGAGGGAGTGAGAACAAAAGTAAAGTTTAACGGGACTTCCACAGACAGTTGATATGGGTGTCAGTTGTGGGAACGTACACACACACACAGACAGCATTTAACGTGATTGAAAATCCAGTCTACAGTGTTTTAGGCTCTTCATTTTCAGAGTTCTTTGCATCATGAAGGTTAAACATGACTTCATTTCATTCTATTCATTTCATCACAGTTCCCCAAATTGCATGAATTCCTGGCTAATAGAATGTATCCTTTTATTGAATAAGAATATATACCACCTACAGGCCACAGGCTTTTTTAGAGATTTTGTTTTTTGTTGCAGAAAAGTGATTCTATTCCAAAGGGTATGTAGGGTAATAGAAATGTAACAAACAGTAATAATCTGCATTTACTAAGTAGAGTCCTGGGTGAGAGGATAAGATTACACGACACAGTCTCTGCCCACTGCCCACGTCGTAGTTTACTGAGGGGATTAGATACCAAAACAGATAACTCCAAACCCACTGAAGCCCTTTGAATGCCCCCTTCCCACACCTGTAGTCCTCATGATTGCTATTCCGGTTTCAAGGCACTTGGTTCTGTATTCCCCCACTGGTGTGCTTATTTTTTCCTCTAGTCAGTCAGAAGACACTATTAGTTCAGAACAAAAACATTTATAGTTTTATACAGGGTATGCATAGGAAGCATTCATAAGGAGGGCACACATGGGGGGAACATGTATGCCAGGGTCCACATGTAGGGGCAGTTTGTGCCTTTGAAGTTGTTGTTGCTGTTGTTGTATCGTTCAGTCGTGTTCAACTCTTGGCGAACCCATGGACCCATGCCAGACCCTGCTGTCTTCTACTGTCTCCTGAAATCTGTCCATGGTCATGTTTGTTGCTTTGATGATACTATCTGTCCATCTCATCCTCTGCCATTCACTTCTCCTCTTGCCTTCAATCTTTCCCAAATCAGGGTCTTTTCCAATGAATCCTGTCTCTCATTATGTGGCCAATGTATTTAAGCTTTGAAGTTGTAGGATTACCAAAATTCTTCCGGTTTTGTGATCCTGGTTCTATTATTGGGCCCATTCCCTGCTGATCCGTTCTATGTAGTAGCAGCCGAGTTTTGCTTTGCTGATCTCCTGATGGCCACTGTCATTGGGCACGTAGTCTTTAATAGATCTTGCTGTCTGGTACTAGCTTCTGGCCTCAACTCTCTTCAGGATCACTCTCAGCTGTCTCAGCTCTATGCTACAGAAGCTAGAATTGTCTTCTGATAAAAACAAGCTGATAGTTTTTAAGTCATACATAGCCCCCCATTCTCAACTAACCAAAACCAGGTACAATGACCTAAGATAATACTGTCTTTTCTTTTTGGACTTTTTCTTGGGGTAGAGATCTTAGTTCTGTGTTACAAAAACTACCTAATTTAGGGTTAGTCTTTTCCAAGATTCTCTGTTAGCTTAGCATGCAGATAAATATAAGGCAAAAGATAAGGTAAGCTAAGGAGAATGGGTCATCATTCTCTACTCATCTAATCCCATCCATGTCTTTATTCATATTTATTAGCAGCAGAGCACCTTTGCTTTGGTGCTGTGTTTTGACCAGCAAAACACCTTAATGTTTCCATGTTCCAGTTCTAGGGCTCTAAAGGACTTGTTGTAAAAAATGCTGTCCCCCTCCTAAGAGAGAAGTGATGATGTCTGAATACAGACTGAAGCATACTTTTTTTCACTTCCCTTTTTTTTTTTTGGTCCTTTTCTTCCTCAAAATGACTGTTTTACATGATTGTACATGTATAACCAATATCAGACTGCTTATTGTCTCAGGAAGGGGGGGGAAGAGGGAGGAAGGGATACAATTTAGAATTCAAAACAAAAAAAAACAATAGATGTTAAAATTGTTTTTACATGTAATTGAGGAAAATAAAATATTTAAAATAGGGTTCCTACATTTAGAGTTGGAAGGAATCTTAGGGGTCACCTTGATTTATCTCCACAATTTTGTAGGCAGAGCTGGGGTTCAAGGTCAGGTCCTCTAATTCTACCCTAAATGAATATACTAAGAAGTTCTGAATGAAGTAATGTTACTTACAGATAATGTGAAGCAAATTCATGAAGGCGAGAGAGCTCATTTCATATGGGGGAAGGGTGCAGAGGAGAATAATATAGTTTGGTTGAAGTATCAACTGTGTAGATGGGACTAACATGAGAGGAAGAAGAAAAAATAGAGTGTCAGTATATTATAGAAAATCTCAAGTGTCAACCAAGAGGAAATTAACTTTACCTGTTTGTTAGTCAGGAGTCACTGAAGAATTTTGAGGTTTTTGAACCTAACAGTAGATAGTAATGGAAATCACAGTGATTTGGAGTTCAGATCGTGATTTGGAGTTCAGATCATGGTTTGGCCATTGTGACGTTGTGCAAGTCACTTTTCCTCTGTGTATCTCAGTTTTCTCATTTGTAAAATGAGGGGAAAGTGGACAGGATGACTTCTGAGGCCCTTTCTAAATTTAGGTCTTTGACTCTAAGAACTGTGGACCTCTGTTCTAGATCTATGTATTAGAAAGTTCTAGAGGTGATCTATAGAATGAATTGGACAAGGAAGATATGTTTAATAGTCTACATTGGTGCTACTGAGGACCATTACTCCGATATGGGTGACAGTGAAAAGAGAGATGGGAATATAGATTTATGATTAATAGGACTGTCTGGATATGAGAGATGACACATTGGATACGTGTAGATACATTCTAAACAAATGTATATGGCATGGATAACTGTACAAATGCCACCTTTTTTTGTTTTGTTTTGTTTTTCTGTTTTTGGCTAGGCAATGGGGTTAAGTGACTTGCCCAGGGTCACACAGCTAGTAAGTGTCATGTGTCTGAGGCCAGATTTGAACTCAGGTTCTCCTGAATCCAGGGCCGGTACTCTATCCACTGTGCCATCTAGCTGCCCCTGTTTTTTTGGATTGTATACTAAATCTGAGTCCATTCCCATAATGTCAGGGACTTTTTAGGCCTTAATATACTTTCTGCAATCAAGTTGCATCATCAAAATTTGGAAAAGAATTTTAGTTCCCTGGTGCCATCAATATTTGGGTGAAGTCATTCTATCTTATTTCAAGTTTTTCCTCTCAGGCTTTCTAAGACCCCTGACAAATTGCATTATTTTATATTTTCAAATACAATTAGAGATTGGATAGTTAGTCAAATGTCACATTGCTGTGCATTTTATTAGAATGAGGTACTAATGATATGGGAACCGAGAAGCCTCTAAAAGCATCATTGCTTTTCATTTTCTAGCAATCATGGCCAAAAATATGATATCAATAGAAATCTAGGTTTTTAACTATCTCTCATTGCTTTTCTTGCTTTCTATTTTTCAGCAAACAAATGATGAAAAAAATTGCATCAATAGAAATCTAGGTTTTAAAATTCTGTCAGTGTCTGTGGCAACCTCTCAGTTTATGTTTAAAATAAAATACTCAAATATATCCAAAATAAGCCCAAGAGTTTACTCATCAGTGTTTACATCTTTTGGGGAAAATATAGTTGGGGGTTAACTTTGAAACCACATTAGTGTCTGGAATGCCATTATATATCACATTATTTTTTCTCGTGTTTATAAGGTTGATGGACCAGCAAAACATGTGAAGTACTTTATTGTAAATATATTTTCCTCTCACTATTTGGGGAGGCCTAGAAGTTTATGCATAGAAAGAGATCTATTGTTTCCTTCTGTTAAAACATGAACATAAACAGTAACTTCACTTTTTTATTTGCTTACAGGGTAGAATTCAAACTTGTTTTTATTCCTGGAAGTTAAAGAAAAGGAAGGTCATTTTAGTGCCTTACTGATAAAGGTAAGATTACACCTGTTCTTAAAGAGTGAAGAAGGTTTGTTTTATATGCCATTTTTTGTTTTCTTACTAGGTAGTGCTTTGCTATATGTCAAAGTGAACTTGGTGCTAACTTATTTTATACAATGAATGGAATGTGTAATTGTTCCTTTAGTTATCAGTAGGTCCACATGAGATAAGAAAATGGAAGTAAATCAACATGACAAAGTGGTTGTCATTTGTTACATAATTAGAAAGTAAGCCATGCCTTGCATTTGACATACTGGCTTTTACAGCCAACCTATTCAACAAACATTTATGTACTTAACGCCTTTTGCCAAATATAGCCATATTGCTGATATCATCAAGATAACATTGTCCAGGCAAATACAACCTGGATTAAAAAAAACAAAACCTTAAATTTAATCCATTAATCTAATTAGCTATATAATCTTGGGAAAGTCACTTAAATTCTCATTTTCCATATTTGTGCAATGTTTGGTTGGAATAGATCACAGGACCATAGAGCCAGAATGGAACAAGATCTAGATGGAGGTCATTAGGCCAACTCCTCCTTTTACAGATGAAAGTGAAAGAATTTTAGTGACTTGTCCAGGGTCACATACGGGGTCATGGCAGAGCCAGGGTTCAAATGTAGGTTCTTTGACTCTAAATCCAGAACATTTTCCATGGTCCATGTTGCCTCCTAATAATCTTTGTGGCAACTGATGTTTTTTCCTTTCTTTTTTTTTTTTAATGGTAATTTTTTATTTATTTTTTTGTTTTCAACATTTACTTCCACAAGATTTTGAGTTCCAAATTTTCACCCCATCTCGCCCCTCCCCCCACCCCAAGATGGCATGCATTCTGAATACCCCTTCCCCTAGTCTGCCTTCCCTTCTGTCTCTTCCCCCCTTCTCTTATCCCCTTCCCCTTCAATTTTCCTGTAGGGCAGGATGGATTTCTGTACTCCATTTCCTGTATTTCTTATTTCCCAGTTGCATGTGAAAACATTTTTTTTAAACATGTGTTTTTAAACCTTTGGGTTCCAAATTTTCTCCCTTCCTCCCTCCCCACCCACCTTCATGGATAAGGCAAGCAACTAAATATAGGTTATACATGTGCAGTTATGCAAAACACTTCCATAGTGGACATGCTGTGAAAAACTAACTCTATTTGCCTTAATCCTATCCCGCCCACCCATTTATTCTATTCTTTCTTTTGACTCTGATCCTCCTCAGACTCAGAAGTATTTACTTTTGATTACTCCCTTTCCCAATCACCCTCCTCTCTATCATTCCCCTACTCTCTTGTCCCCTTCCCCCCCTCCCCCCCAATTTTCCTGTAGGGGAAGACAGATTTCCACACCGAATTGAGTGTGTATGTTATTCCCTCCGTTAGTCAAATCCTATGAGAATAAGATTCACTCATTCCCTCTCACCTTCCCCTGTTTCCCCTCCACTGTAAGAGCCTTTTCTTTTCTGTTTTTTTTTTTTGTGGGATAATTTACCCCGTTCTACCTCTCCCTTTCTCCTTCTCCTGGTATATTCCTCTCTCACCCCTTAATTTTATTCTCCAGATGTGATCCCTTCATTTTCAACTCACCCTGTGCCTTCTATCTATCTATCTATATCGATATATACGTACATATGATTTTTTCCCCTCCAACTACCCTAATACTGACAAAGGTCTCATGAGTTACAAATATCATCTTTCCACGCAGGAATGTAAACAGTGCAACCTTAATAAGTGTCTTATGATTTTCTCTTTCCTGTTTACCTCTTCATGTTCCACTTGAGTCTTGTATTTGAAAATCAAATTTTCTATTCAACTCAGGTCTTTTCATCAAGAATGCCTGAAAGTCCTCTATTTCACTGAATGACCATTTTTTCTCCTGCAGGATTATGCTCAGTTTTGCTGGGTAGGTGATTCTTAGTTGTAATCCTATCTCCTTTGCTCTCCGGAATATTATATTCTATGCCCTGTGGTCCTGTAATGTAGAAGTAGCTAAATCTTGTGTTATCCTGATTGTGTTTCCACAATACTTGTGGAAACTTTGGCTAATGGTATGGGAACTAGAGAGGTGGTTAGCAGAATCCTTGATGATTGAATGCCATTCCATCACTTCATTTCTTTTCTCGTATTTATATGATGCTTAGTTAGCAGTTAACTGTGCTATTATTTCTTGTGTTACTTCCTGTGGGACATCTGTAACTGTGGTACCATCTTACTTACTGACTATCATGAGTGATCCAAAATACTTAAATCCCTGTAGGTTCAGTACAGATAAAGCGTTCAACAATTGTTGACAAAAAATGAGATTAAAAAATAAGTTTCTTGAAGCAAAAATCAATTAAATGTAAACCAGTTGTATTTGAACCATGCTTATGACCAGATGCGTTTTTCTCCATCAGAAATCTCAATGTACAAATCTAGAAAGTTCCATTTGGTGCCTTTTGGGGTTCATTCTTCTTTCAGGATTAAAATTTTTACTCATTATATTTTCATTGCTCACTGAGATATTGTCACTTGTTTTAAAACTGAATCCTTTATTTTCCTTGAGTTTTTTTTTTTTTGGACTTTCTCTTGTTACCTCTCTTGCTTTATGCTAATTGTCATTACTGTTTTTCAGTCATATATGACACTAATGTTTTTGATTACTCATATTGAGTCATCTTCAAATATTCCTTTTTAAATCTTTTGTCTGCTTAGTCTCCAGAACCTGATTTTCTTCTCTCGTAATAGCATTATTCACATGGACTTCTTCCTTCCTTCATCTGAGTAACTGTATAACAATCCCTAGTATAGATTTTCACTTGACTACATTATTTTCAGGCAGCCAGGTGGTGTAGTGGATAGAGTGCCAGGTCCTGGAGTCAGTTCAGATCTGGCCTTAGACACTTACCATCTGTGTGATCCTGGGCAAATCACTTAATACTGTTTGCCTCAGTTTCCTCATCTGTAAAATGAGTTGGAGAAGGAAATGGCAAACCACTGTAGTATCTTTGCCAAGAAAACCTCAAATGAGGTTACAAAGAGTCAGGTACAACTGAAAAACAACATTATTTTCACTTTCTTTTCTAAGTTACGTTGACATCATATTGATTTCCTTCAGTGTAATAAAATCACAATTCAGACCTTCAGCTGTCAGAGCTCCTAGTGGTATGGCAGCATTAGTTCTGCTCAGTTGAAGAGCCATGGGAAAACATAAAACAAGACAGGCAAAAAGAAATAGACATGCAGGGAGAGTAGTTTTTCGGGGGAGGGGATAAGGCAGCTAGCAGTTGGCATCAGTAAGTCAGCTCTGGTCACTTTGCTGCTCTTTCATTGTTGATAGCAATCCTTTCCTTGTTCAATAGTAGGGAAGAGAGAGCGCTTCCATTTGCTTGTGCACATTTAGTTTCAACTCAGCAATCAATTAAAAAGGCTTTTTCATTACTATGCAGTAATCACTATGTGCTTTTGATAGGGAGCAGTCAGGATAGCTACACATCCTCTGAACCAAGGAGGGAAAGATCCCTAGCACCTGCAGCATGCATTTCTGGAAACAGGCTCAACATACCAACATGTCAATTGGCAGGGGGCAGGGCATATTATGGATGCTGTAAGACTGGGTCCTCATTGGCTAGTTTCCCCCATTATTATTATTATTATTGTTTTTTTTTTTTTGGTGTGAGACAATAGGGGGTAAGTGACTTGCCTCAAGTGTCTGAGGCCGGATTTGAGCTCAAGTCCTCCTGACTCCAGGGCTAGTGCTCTATGTACTACTGTGCCACCTAGCTGTCCCTCCCCCATTATTCTTGAGTAAACTATAGGTCACATGGATAGAAAAAGAAATAGTTAAAGTGTTTGGGAAACATCACAAAGTGGGCATAGAGACATGAAATAGTAGTGATAGGGGAGGTAAATCATCTAGACATATTCTGGATCTCTTTCCCTGTCTTTATCTGCACTCTCTTTCTGTCGGGCAAAATGTGTTTTACCTAACAAGGAGGAGGGAAGGGGAGGGGCTGTATATTTATTAAAGCATTTGAGCTGGGCACTATCCTAAGTGCTTTACAAATCTTATCTCATTTGATTCTGAGAGAAAGGAGGAATTGATTAACTTGTGAGGAAGTGAATGTTCCATCTTAGTGTTTGCAATAGTGAAAAAGAGGAAAGCCAGACATGGCCTCACGTGTGCCCTAGATGTTGGGAGAACAAAGCAAGGGTTTACAGGAAGGACAGGTATGGTCAGATGGACGGAATTCCAAATGGGAAGTCAGCCCAAGAGGACTTTTTAGAATGAAATTCTAAAGACCCAAAAGGAAACAGTTCTGATCGTGAGAAAAAGGAGGGTCTGCCTAAAGGAGTAAATGTGGATATACATGGGATCCAACTTAGATTTTAAATAGAGGCAAGGGAAGTAATGTAGGGTGACTATAAAGGCTCAAGAAATATATATAAATAGCTCAAGAAAAGTGACAGGAATTTTAAAGCTCAAACTGAGCTGAAGTTGACAAGGAAATCCAAAAATATAAGAACTTCCCCCCCCCCTTTTAAAATTTTTTTTTAAGGCAATTGGCATTAAGTGACTCGCCCAGGGTCACGCAGCTAGTAAGTGTCAAGTGTTTAGTCTGAGGCCGGATTTGAACTCAAGTACGACGGACAGCGGGGGGGGGGTCTCTCCCCACCGCCCCCCCAAGGGGGCCCCCCCCCCCCCCCCTTTTAAATATGTGCTGGGGAAGGCAGAGGATGAAAGATAGCACTGGATCACTGCTCAGCACAAATGGGATAATAACTGAACAACAGAATGAAGGCAGTGCCACTCAGTTATAATTTTGTTTGTTTTTCCTCTGCCAAGAAAAAACACAACACTCTTTGGACTGGAAAGGACAGCAGAAAGATGGTTAATAGAGAGTTAGTAAGAGAGAACCTAACAGTTATCTCATTCAGATAATCTGTATCTTTTGGTACTGAAAGAATTGTTCCTATGATTGCCACACTACTGTCCAATTAATTATTAGTAATGATTGTGGGGAATG